ACCACGATAAGAAAACACGGATCATACATGTCATCCCTACTAGGGCATGGTCACTCAGGATGGTATTTGTGGAATGTATCACACCGAACACGTAACACTAGTGTCAATGTCCCAGGGCAGTCTATTTTTTGTTTTTTCTCCTTAGCTTTTTTACACTGTTTGACATCGAATTAAAATAACTTCTACGCGACGGATGCCGTTCAAATTTAGTGAAGAAGATCTGTGCACACCAAGCGATCGAATGATGGGCACATCTCGGTCTTGAAATTTGATGTCAGTGCTCCTTTAAGCAGGAAATTGCCAAGGAAAGAATCTATGATAATACTCGAGCTAGTTCCCTACTGTTTGACTCCAGGACAAAAGTATTGCGAATCAAAACTTATCAGGTCGAATACGAAGAGGTAGACACGGTATGCAGTGCGTGTAGAGAGGAGGAGGAAACTGCCGAACACTTTACAATGTTCTGTAAAGGGCTTCACCCTATAGTTCAGAATGATGGCGCAGAGTTTTTCAAAGCACAGGGGTTTAGGGACAGGGAGGGCAAAATAGACTTTAAGTGGGTAGAATTAACTAGAAGGAGGTTATCTGATTGGTGGCTAAAGTCAAGGCACAAGTGAAAATTAAATCCTTCACTGCAAGGTGCGAATCTTTAACTTAACTATTTAAAGGGAAAAAAAAAGGTAAGTGTAGTTTTTTTTTCACTAATTATTATGGGTAGGTGGCGTTAGCCGCCACCGGATCTAAAGGGTACAGACATATTAATCCATCCATCCATCACCTGGTACACGGCACAAATAGCTTTTCTGCATGGCAGACATCGCCTTGCGCTTGTACTTATTTCATAGGTATGTGGTGTATGGTTTACGAATGACCTGGTCGGCCACCGCAGGTATTGTACCTACTCCTTCTTTTTTCATGTAAATTTGTTCTTATTTACGCAACAGAAGCTAGTATCCGCATGTTTTCTCTCATATTCAGGAACATAGCGCTTTGAGCGCAACCATTAATCAGCATGCGAAATAAAATTGTTGCAGTTAATTTAGAAAGGCAATGTTTCAGACTAGTTTGTGTTCCTTGGTTTGTAGGCCTTATAAACATCAAGAAAATTATTAAGAGGGCAGGCAAAAACCAGCCCGATGTTTGAAAGAAGCTTTTGCACAAAAACTTGTGAGATGCAGTGAAAGGAAAACTGAGTCATCGCATAATAGTATAATAAATAAATGATACAGATTGTAACAGAATAAGTGAAACCGAAGAGGGGCGAGCCGACATCTTCCAAGAAAGTGGATTCCTCTCACTCATAGACACGGAAGGCTTGGTCATGCGGAAAAACTCCTCTTGCTTCATGTGCACTGTTCCTGTAGTAAAGTGAGCATGCTTGTCCTGGCATTCGTGTGTTAGTGCAGTGTGGTGAAATTCTGGACACAGGGATTCCATGGCTGCACCAAAGTGCAGCAAGTTGGATTTGCTGCGCCATCTGGATAAAGTTGATATAAACTGTGCGAAACTGCACCATAGACTGATGTTTGATGGTGTATATCGCAACCTTTTGCACTGCCGGCTCGTCAAATCATGGGCAGCTTGATCTTGGGGCCACCAAAGGCAAAACCACGCACCAGGGATTATTCGCTGACGGAATATTGCTGAAGCATGCGTCCCTATTAAGCCACAACACCATGCACTGTGTCATCGCAGCTTCATGTTGTGCAAAGCGGCTCAGCGGCGAAATGCGCTTTCCGCAGAGGCATATGACTTCTGCTGCAAGTATTCGTGATCAAGGGTGGTGGCGATTCATGATTTGACGTCTTATGTTCGAGAAACGAGGCCAGTAGCTTGTTCAAGCTACTGCACAACATTGAATCAAGCCGATACTCTATAACTACACAGATTCTGCGCCCAGCCGCGGTGGTCTAGTGGCCAAGGTACTCGGCTGCTGACCCGCAGGTCACGGGATCGAATCCCGGCTGCGGTGGCTGCATTTCCGATGGAGGCGGAAATGTTGTAGGCCCGTGTGCTCAGATTTGGGTGCACGTTAAAGAACCCCAGTTGGTCGAAATTTCCGGAGCCCTCCACTACGGCGTCTCTCATAATCATATGGTGGTTTTGGGACGTTAAACCCCACAAATCAATCAACACACATTCTGCTAAAATATCTCTCTGCTTTATATGAGCACACAATCGCTACCACGACATTTTATTTAGTCCTTGTGAAATGGAAACTATAGTGGCAGATTCAAGCATTTTATCTCAATCTGAATCAGACTTTTTTTTTTTTTAAATTGTGGGTAAAAGCCACGAAAAATTACTATACCATGCAGCCTAGCGGAGCAGCCATGCAGCTGGATTATGGAGGCTTTAAATATTAGAGTATGTATATTATCCATCGCCGTTTATACTGTGTGCTCATCATGAGGTAAAAGAAATTGCACACTGCAAAGTAGCGCTGTCTTCATGTCGATAGTGTAACAAGGTTCAGCCATGTGCAAAAGACCACTGTGCTCTCGCGCATACCTCCAACTTTTTGCAGCATGTTTTGATTGAAATTTTTTCATTATAAATGTTCACATTGTTTTTCATGTTAACATTCCAAGATTAGACTCTCACTGGTAAGCTATCGATTGCGCTACAGAAAACGTCTAGGACAAAACTTGGTTGTCGGTTACTTTAACCATTTTTATCCAGTGATGCTCCCAGGTGAAGCAGCAAATATTTAATCACAACTTTTTATGTGAAAGTGCTAAATAATACAGAAGAATATGCCTATCTTGGAGGAGGGATTTTCTCAACTTTTCAGTCTCCGTAATGCCGAAGGTGATCTCTAACTTGAATTCTGCGAGCTGCATGTCAGAACTTTTTACTGCACACACAATATCGTAGCGGAAAATTTAGAACCTCACATTCCTGATGGCGACGTGCGTGTATGAAAAGTAAAATATTCACTTCTGCTCGCTGCTTTTCTAAAAAGTTGCATAGCAATACTCCCTATGCATTCCTTGGTCATGTGAGAACTATCAAAGTGAAATAATTGACACATATACTGAGAGAAAATAGAAGAAACCTGAAAGTACAGAGCACATGAAGGTCATTGTGAACGAAGTCAATTTCCTTTCTTTTGCTGCACTGTCCCTAGTATAGGTAGTACTATCTGTTATGTACTATTTGAAACTTCAATATGTCATACTATGCAAAATTATATGGAGGCTTAGTGACACACATGAGACTCATTGTGCCATTATTCCTATGGCATCATTTGTTGCCTCGGGAATACAAGAGGCTAAAAGTGAGCACAATGAAAAAATTTATAAACACAGCTTTGTTTTTCAGAAGTGTGGATTCATTGAACTCACTGAACGTGCAAATGAGCCATACATGCGGCAGATCGTGGAGTGCTCTTGCACCACCAATACTTGCTTCATGCTGAAATTGAAGTTCACCAAAATTTTCTGCTCGCAGGAGTGTCTGTGCATGCAGTTGTTAGGTCTGTAGCGACACCACGGACCCGAGCTAGCGGTGGGGGTTTCGATCCCCTCCCATGCCTAGCCGTGCGTGGCTTAGTTGTGTCAAAGAAAAGGGGACCCTACGGGGTTGACCCATCGCCAGGTGATTGGACCATTAAGGCCCCCTCCGGCAGCAGCAACACACCCCTTTAGCCCCAGCTTCCCGTAGACGTTAACCCTAAAAATTGGCAGTTGCCTTTTTTTCTCTTCTTTCTCAGAAATCTTCGTCATTTTCTCTCACTTTTATTCTTTGTCAGCAAAAAGGGTTAACTTTGTGTGGTAATCCAACCTTAGGGGAACCATATTAAGTTATAGTGGTGACATACGACTGGCATCGTACGGACTTTTTTAACTGTCTTGTCGTGCCTTCTTGTAGGGCTCTGTGGTGAGTGGTTGGCACTGTCACCGAACTTACACTTTTGTAGCATCTCAAGCTTCCTTTGTTTTTTTATCGGCCTCCAAGAGGAACCGTTTTGAATTGACATTTCAATTCTCGTTGCATAATAGTACACCAAGTTTCGCCAAATACTACATGATGTATTTGAAACGACAGTCACTAAAAAACTGTCTCCATTCCTAGTGGCGAGGGGCCTCAAGGAAAAATCGGCCCGAGCTACAAAGCCTCCAAACTGTGTAGTGAGGATCTACTCCTAGAACTAAAAAAAAAAAAAAAAACGTGCAAAAGTTGCAAGCACTCACGATTATCTGTGATACACATGTTACAACTTCAGTCTATAGGTCACTAAACACAAGTAGAGGTGTGGTATCCAAGGATGATCAAACATACCTAACCACAGACTATGTTTCAAGTGCCAAAGATTTGAACAACTTTCAGGCTCATGCAAAGGCTAGGAAACATGTGCCAAATGCAGCGCCCACAACCATTCCTCTAGAAACTGTGCGCCTATACCACACTGTGTAAACTTCAAAGGAGAACATTCGGCTGACTTGCGCTCCTGCTCATGCTGGAAAAAAGAAGAGGAAGTCATTTTCTTGACTGTAAAAAAAAATCGCATTCTTTGAAGCACGAAAGCGACTCTTTTGCTTGTTCAGACGAAGGTATGCCGATGTTATGCAGTCGGGGAAGCATCACAGAAGCCTCAGATGTCTTCCAGTTCCACACAGAGTGGTCTGGGTGTGACTGTCTCTGCCCCCTTGATGGAAGCAGCCGCTGCTGCTTTATCTACCTCAAAGGGCCAGCAGACACCAGTCTTGCTGGGCCCCAAAACCATTTGCATACCAAAGCTGGTATCCTGAATCATGACGCCTATACTCTGTTTTCAGTAGTTCCGTGCAGCACTGGGGAAGCTGCAGTCCTTCTCGACCAATTAAGAGCTCATCTTAAGCGTATCATTCCGCATCATGTCATCTGCAAGCAGCAAGAACTGCTAGCAGTGAGCTTGTGCAGCGTAAGAATTTGCATTCATTAACAGAAGTTGTGAACGAGTCTGGCCCCTGTATTCGAAAAAAAAAAAAAAAAGCATCAAACCAAATAGCGTGTCCTCAAGCTGGGGCTTTGACAGGTGGTGCCGTCTATTGAGAATTAAAAAAAAAACTTACAGATGTGCAGTATATGCCCTTCGAGATTGGCGAAGTGCCCATCCCCACGCGCTAAGGCTACAACAACGATTATTTGAGTGTGTCTTTCAAAAACAGCACTGAATCGATCCAAATACAGTGCGTCGAAGCTTAAGCACATGAATCTAATGCGAATTGAGGCATCAGTTTGGAGCTTACAAGCTGTAGAGCCCAGGGCAGCTGCTTCATAGATTTGAGGGGGGTGACAATTGCTGACAAGCGCTGCTAGGGGTGAGCTTGCGCAGCGTAAGAATGTGCATTCGTTAACAGAAATTGTGCACAAGTCTGGAGCGCATTCAGGTCAGAAGTCATGCAGCAGTTTTTCTTGATTTCGGCCCCTGTATTAGAAAAAAAAAAAGCATCGCACCAAATAGCGTGTCCTCAAGCTGGCGGTTGGACAGGTGGTGCTATCTATTGAGGATCAGAAAAAACTTACAAATGTGCGATATATGCCCTCTGAGATTGGCAAAGTGACCACCCCCACACGTTAAGCTTATAGCAACGATTAATTGAGTGTGGCTTTCAAAAACGGTACTGAATCGATCCGAATACAGTGCTGTCGAAGCTTAAGCACATGAATCTAAAGCGAATCGAGGCATCAGTTTGGAGCTTAGAAGCTGTAGAGCCCACGGCAGCTGCTTGATAGACTTGAGGTGCGTGACAATTTCTTCCGGCAGTGCAGCCATGTTTTTCGGACCCAGTGCCAGTTTTTCAGTGACACTGTGGAGTCTGTGGCTGTGTCAACTACATGTAAAATTTTTAAACAATGTCTTACCAATAGGAACACAATCTTGATTAAAGCACTAAGCTCGTTGATGTCAAAGAAGTGCTTCGTAGTTCTTCACAAACACAGTGTAGTGCATCTACTAGGCATGTGACATGCACCATCTGGGGGCAGAAGGTCTTCAGGAGATCAGCAGCCTTGTGCATGTAGGCTGCGGCATCTGTGTACAGCAGCACATCCTTGGCATCATCAACCCCTACAGGGTACAGAACCTTCAGGGATTCGTTTTTAGAGTATGCTATTGAATCCCCATTTGTTCTCTCCAAACATTCAAACACACAATTTTCATCAGCTGCGAGCTTCTCAGCTAGAAAATGAGCGACAAAGCGCCCCTTGACGTCTGTTGTTTCGTCTACGGAAGTCCAAATGCAAGAGTTGCCGATCTCCTCTCTGAATCTGTTTATTGTTTCTTCATACAAAAGCCGGAGGTGGTTCTTCCGCAGCGTCGACTCCGATAAGACGTTTTGCTCGCAATATTTATGTAAGAATTGTTTCGGCACAGGATTTTCAATTTTGGTTCAAGAAACATTTGCAGCCACTAGAGCCTCACACAAGTCAGCGTTGAAAGCATTCATGCTGTCATCTTTGAACGGTGTTGTCAAAAAGGACTGTTTCGTTGTCGGGGGCTTGTTGTGCTTAATCTTTGTCAACTGAATTCCCGTCTTCTCATGCTGTTCCAGATAGTACATTTTCTTGCAAGGAATCTGGGCAAATGTGCTAGGATTTCTTAAATACAAAATGTATATTCTATTGATAAAAACGCTAACATACTAGGCATCCTCACGTGTTAGGACAAAATGAATCATTGCTATTATCAACTTACACAGTGAAGTGCTTAAATCTCTACCGAGTCCTATTTGATTGCAGAACTGTACTTGAACAGAAAGCTGCCAGGCGCTTCATACTACCACAAGATGCTTGAAGCGCAAGAAACTCAGCTTACACGAATGTAGTATTTATTTCACTCAGCACACACACACGTTTGTGATGTAAGTTTGCTAAGCCTATTTACTTATTTGTTTGATTTGCATGCACAGATACACAAATGCATGAACAAAAGAGGCAGAGAGCAAGCTAGCAACTACCAGCTGGAGGGGCACAGTGCCAGCTTACTTTTTGGGGAGGAGGAAAGAGATAGAGCGAAAATAGAGACAAAGAGGAATGGAGAGGAAAGGAAACAAAAAAAGAAAAAGCGTCTATAAACGGGTGACAACTATGAAAACACCTCAGCAGTGCATAAGGCACCGTAATTCAATCAGGTACTGACTTTGTGTGGCATACATCAGAATTCTCGGAGACAATTTATTAGCGCAGCAACCAGGTGGGCCTCGCACTAACGAACAGTTGGTACACAGCATAAAACTTGATCTGTACATCAGTGCTATCCTTATGAAACGTCGCCTTTCAGTATCAACTGATCACTTGGTCATTCAATCTCCAAATGCCTAAATCTTCACTTAATACAGCACAGAGGTGTGGTACATACTCTTGTAACTTGCTACAACAACGTTTGTAAGACAATTCATTTTGATAATCTCAATGGTACTGAAAATTCAGAATTTCACAAGAAAAGTAAGCTTGCAAAATAATAATTATTTCAACAAAAGCAGGCTCCCAAATAGCGTTGTTTGGACATTTTGAAACAATACAGAGGACTGAATAGGCGAAAATCGACATTAGCAAATTCCAGTCACGACAGCTAGGTGCCAACGAATGGGGCGCAATGGACGACTTTGTGTTTCCGGAGAGCAAATGAATCACTCAAGTTACGTAAAAGCACTTTGGCTCACCTTTTTAAATGCAAAGCATTTCTGAGTGAACTTCGGCGACTTTGGCTTATCTATCTATATTTGTCTGTCTCTCCGTGTGTATGTCTTTCTGTGTCTGTCTGTCTGTCTAGCCGCCTACGAGGCTTAGATCTGGCCATTTTCATAATAGGATCTATAGCAAAATTGGTATGGCATAACATGACTGTATAGCGAGAAAAAGTGACTAGTCATAATATTGCCACCATTGATGAACGAGCCACTGTGGCTCATACGCGTTTTTGGGCTGCGAAGAAGAAGAGAACATCTTCGTTGCTCTGGTTCAAGTGAACTCCTGGCTGCAGGTCTTGTTTTGCTCGTGACATTACTGGTGGAGACGCTGGGTACGTGTACTTCGGCTGTGTCGGCCATTGTGGAGGCAGCTACATCTCCCAGAGCAAGAATCAGCCGCCGCCTGCTTGGGTTACCCCCTGAATTTGGTCCCTTGGCATCGAGACCCAGAAAGACGGCAACTGTGATGACAAGCCAGGCGGTCCAAACCAGCGATGCCCATGGTTCTCTTGTCGCCCACGTTTTTCACGTGCCACAGACACCAAAGCCATTCCATGGAAACATCTTCGAGGATGTTGATGACTGGCTCGACCGCTTTGATCGGGTTGCCAGTATCAACGAATGGGATGATGTTTGCAAGCTGCGGCGAGTTTACTTCTACTTCGAGGATTCTGTGAAGAGGTGGTACGAGAACCGCGAGGGCTCCTTTGCAACATGGCAAGAGTTTAGCCGACAGCTCCGTGACGCTTATCGCAACACCGAAAGGAAGGAGAGGGCTGAACAAGCCATATCCTGCAGAAACCAACGGCCGAACGAACGTGTATGCATGTTTGTCGCGGACATGCTTCGGCTCTTCAAGCGCGCGGAGCCTGCCATGCCCGAGAAAAAGAAGGCGCGGCATTTGATGCGCGGAGTAAAAGAACAGCTTTTCGCTGGGCTCGTGTGCAATCCACCAACGACAGTCGCTCAGTTAATCAGTGAGGCAGCCACGATGGAACGTACGCTGCAGCAGCGGTCGTCACAATACGAACGCCAGATCCCGGCCACCACATGCTCTGTCGGCTCTGACAGCGAGAGACAGGCCCTCGCAGACTTCATTCGAAGTATCGTTTGGGACGAATTGCGACAGCTTCAGGCAGTGGGATCCCATCCACCTGTGTCAGCCCTCGCGGATGTAATCAGACAAGAAGTCCGGCAGGCCGTCACACCCCTGGCCCCAATCGCACCACCGATTCCCGAGGCCCCAGTCCTGACATGCGCAGCGGCATTGTTCTCCCCTCCGCCACCGGCTACAGATACTGCTATGCAGCCAAGGTACCAGGCTATGCAGCCATTCCACGACACTGCTTCGAGCCCGCCTCTCGTCTCAAGGTTTTCGAGCCCACCCACTTATCTGCCGTCTATCTCAAGACAAGGTGGTAGCAAGGCGAGCACGTGGTGCACCTCGGATAACCGTCCGCTCTGCTATCACTGTGGCGAAGCGGGTCACGTATACCGGAACTGTCAATACCGGCAACTAGGTCTCCGCGGCTTCCACCCTGATGCTCGATGCCCGCGCTACGGTGAGCGCCCCCGCGAAATCGAAGCCTGTCTCATGGGCCAACGTACTCCATGGACTATTCAGCACCATCAGTCGAGATCACCATCGCCTCGCTGGTCTACATCACCCAGTTTGCCCTCATCGTCTTCTGCTCTTTTCAGGAGCCGGTCACCAAGTCCCCGCAGGGGAAACTAGGAATGGCGACTGCTGGGGGTGAAGTCGCGGCCCGGTGAACTGTAAAAGACCCTCCTTTCACGCAACGACCGGACGAGGACGATTCCGGTTTTGCAGTGTTCTCCGACAGCAAAAAGATTGTTTCTGCCGAAATTGCCGTCTTCATCGACAATCATGCTGTTAACGCCCTCGTCGACACCGGTGCCGACTATTCCGGAATGAGCGCCACACTGGCATTTGAACTGAGGAAGGTTACCACGCCATGGCAAGGACCCCAGTTGCGCAAGGCAGGTGGCCATCTGGTGACGCCTACTGGTATATGCACGGCACGCATTTGAATACGTACGTCGACATTTGCGGGCTCTTTCCTCGTATTGCGCGTGTGCTCTCGGCCAGTCATTCTAGGAATGGACTTCCTTCGTGAATACGGTGCCATCATCGACCTCCGTGAATTACTTGTGTCGTTCAAGGATCCTTTTTGCGCTGCAACTGACAGTACGCAATTCCGGAAATGAGCGCTCCGTGTTACCGACGATTCTCTGACTCTCCCACCTCGAAGCAGCCTCTTTGTCAAAGTAGAATTGGGACAGGGCGTGTCTGACGCGGTAATTGCAGAGGCCAATTTGTCTCTCCTTATTTCACAACAAATCTGTGTTGCCCGGAAATCATTCAGCCTAGCAATTGGCATGCTCATGTGCTGGTCACGAACTTCAGCGAGGAATATCGCCACCTAACGAGACACACTGCCATTGCATATTGTGAAGAACTTGCCGATGCCGATGGTCCGTCTACATTAGCTTCATTTTCAACGAATGGCCACGCTGACGAGGCCTTCGCGAGCACTCTCGACGTAAACGAGAGACTACCTTCGGCTCAGTGAGAAAGCCTTTTGCGTATACTCGGCTCATTTTAAGACTGCTTTGCCCCTACGTCAAAGGTTAAACAGACACCACTTGCTCAGCATCGTATCATCACGGAACCCACCGAGAGACCCATCCGACAACATGCCGATAGGGTGTCGCGAAAAGAGCAAGATGCTATACGTGACCAAGTCCAGCAGATGCTTCAGGACGATGTCATTCAGCCATCGTCCAGTCCCTGGGCTTCGCCAGTTGTGCTAGTAAAGAAGAAGGACGATACATTGCATTTTTGCGTTGATTACGGTAAACTGAACAAGGTCACCAAAAAGGTCGTTTATCCTCTACCCCGGATAGATGACTCATTGAACTGTATACACAACGCTAAATACTTTTCCTTCATGGATTTGCGTAGCGGCTACTGGCAAATCACAGTGGACGAGCGCGACCACAAAAAAACGGCATTTATCACTCCCGACGGCCTGTATGAGTTTAAAGTGTTGCCTTTCGGTCTATGCTGAGCGCCAGCTACTTTCCAAAGAATAATGGATACGGTTCTCACAGGGCTCAAATGGCAATCATGTCTTGTCTACCTTGATGACGTCGTGGTCTTTGCAGACACGTTTGAACAACACGTCTAATGCCTTCATGCACTACTCAGGCAATCAGAACAGCGGGGCTTTCTCTCAAACACGAGCAATGTCATTTTGGATACGAACAACTGAAGTTACTTGGTCACGTTGTGAGCCATGCCGGCATCCGCCCAGATCCGGAGAAAACCCGCGCTGTTGCCGCCTTTCCCGTGCCCACAAATAAGCGCGACC